CACCTATTTACACAATACCACACCACACTCTACACACAGGCAATCCCACAAGCAGGCGCCAAACACATGCACCATACACTTTCCTGGCCCTTTTGTCCTCTGGTATCCCACTTGTGGAGACACCAGAGACAATTTAAAAACAAACACAGCGCAAGCATGTTATTACATTTGCTTGCGCTGCGCAGAACAAATACAGGGCCTTTTTCTAATGCTAGAGCTCTTCAGCGGGGCTCTGCGCATTGAACCAACATGCTCACTTTGAGAGGGGGCGTGCTTGTCATTAGTGATGACAAAACACACCCTCTCTGGCCCCGCCCCCTTCTTGGGGGGCCGCTCTAATTGAAAAATGCCCGGGCCTAATTTTTTTCCCAGTCCGGCCCTGTACGGAGGACAACTCCCATCGTGTTTAACTGTTTAATCATGAACTGTTTCTTGCTTTGCAAATATTCTCAGCTACTTGCTTAATGTTTCTATTGAAGATTATTCTCATGAACGTAAAGAATGTTACTTAATGCATCTCTGAGGAAATACTTATTAATGAACTTTGTGTTGTTGATTACTTGCACTTCTTATTGGATTATTGCCTAAATGCAATTCATTTAAGTTTAACACTTATTAAAACTTCGGTTGAATCAAGTTACCAGCAATTCCTCTTTTCTTAAAGCTACAGTATTGATACTTTAAAAGTTTCTCCGTATCTTCACTAATGTAATTAGGGAGGTTTACAAGCTGCAGTTGAGCTCCAATCCAAATCACCCAAGTAGCGTAACAAAGGGACTCCGGTGCAATCCAGTATCAAGGAGTCTTGTCTCTTGGATGCTTGTTTAGCAGAGAGGAGCTGGCCAGTGTCTATCTCAATTAGAGCCTCTCGGACCAACATGCAACCTTCCAGAACAGCCAATGCCTTATGAGATGCCTGCAATTCTGGATTTCACCTTGGCCTTAATCTTGGACATGAACGTGTTGTGATATACATTTAAGCTGCTGTATAGTCTGTGGGAAAATTGAAGTGAACCAGAACTCAGTTATATTATTGTGTGTATCCATCAATATCTCTATATACAATAATCTAGATTAAAAAAAAAAACTGTTAATGCTAAATGCATTATAATTTGTGGGCTGGAAATATATAAACCAGTTACTGTAGGAACCTCATACAACTGGCAGCAATATGAACACCTAACCTTTTGAGTTACATAAATATGTATAACTGGAAGTCTGGTGATCCAGAGAAACTACAAATGTATCAATATGCCCCTCTACTGAAAAGGGCCAAAGTAAGTATGATTTGATGGACTAACCCACCTCTCACCAGCGCTCTCAGCCCAACACTCCAATCCAGGTTGGACTGAATCACACATGATAATCAGAGCAGGATTAACCATAAAGTGACACTAGGCGGCTGCTCATGGGTTATACAAGGGCCACAGAACTATGGATTTGCTTGCCCTATTAACCATGCCTACTTGAAGAATGAACTGGAACCCACTGCAGCCCCATTGTGGGTGGATGGATGGAGATGATGGAGATGATGGATAGAGTTCATCGGATCAGAAAACTACACCTTCTTACAGAGGAAAAGAATCTTTATCCAATAATCTCAAAAAGGGATTCACATGCATAGTACACAATTTACTTGGATGATTTTTACCTCCATCGTGTGTGTTTTCCCTGAAGATGTCTGTCCATACGCAAAGATGGTTCCATTGTAACCGTCCAAGACATCTACAGAATAGAACAATGAATAAATAAAGAACAAGAAAAAAAGCTTATTGCCATCAAACTGTAATGAGTTAGAACAGGTTTAACCCCTTAAGGACACATGACATGTGTGACAGGTCATGATTCCCTTTTATTCCAGAAGTTTGGTCCTTAAGAGGTTAATAGAAGTAGACTTTAATGCAGTTAAGATTAATATGGTATTCAACAAAGACCATATTAATCCCAGGTGATATTCTCAATACAGAGTGTAGAGTTCTAAAATTGCTACATGTTAACTCCTTGAAAAACAAGTAACTAATGATATTACATAAAATAATAATAAATGAAATGGCTCAACACTCCATATGCCCAAGTTACATACATACTCAGGGGTTTATTTCCCTGAATAAAATGGGGGTTTATGCACTAACAGTGAACAAAAAATGAATTGGAAATATAACATTAGAATTAAAAAAAATTTTATTTTTATAATAGCCTTCATGTTGCAAATCAATTTTCAATTAACCATGAGTAAGCCCCTAGATAGGTTTAGATGGATATATGGATAGAATGAGATGCAGAAATCATGCCTATAACCATATAGCCACTAGCCATCTGGAGTGGGCACACCAATTTGGATTTTATTAATCAGAATGTAATGTGAAATACAGGTTGTTGGTAAATGACATGGCAGTTGAGGGAACTTAAACAGCAAATAGTTACTGGAACTAGATGGTGATGGATTTCAAATGCACATATTCACTACTCCTGCAGATGTTTGCCAGGCTATAGATTAGAT